GTGGTGTGTATATATGTTATACACATATATATAGTGCGTGTATAATATTGTTTGTGCTTAGCCATTTGCAATTTGAGTATGATCTTCGGGTTTAACCCGAAGTACTCACTAAGCATATAACTTGGGACGTTGTTATGCAACGTTTCAGCTCGAGATAGTGCAAAGAGAAGCGTTGGATGGATACAGCGGCGCCAAAAGTGCGAAGAGGAAGACCGAGAAGATTTAGGTTAGAGTTACGCAGATTCCTGTTTCAAAAAGATTGGTAGTATCGATTACGAGTTTTATATTTCACGATAGTTACACTACCGTATTTGTATTTGTCTCCACTGCATACTTATATAAACTGAGAATTTTTAAATCCCGTGTATTTTCGATAATTTTATTTATTATATTGTTGTCCATGTGGTGCAACTCGTGATTTTCGCGGGACACGGGTTTCGGGTGTCACAGCGTTCCTCTGAATCAAGCATTTCATTTTTCTTGGACCCTTTGCTCTTTCGGAGGTTTTGGTCTTTAGAACTAATAGGTCGTCCACGCTTCAGGCGTGTTTTGGAATCGTTTTTCGAATTTTCTTTCGTTTGTTCTTTTGGACTTTCAATCTGAGCATGAACATTTGCAGCATCTATATATGATCTTGTTACGCTAGTTGTATCTATAAATGCATCAGGTAACTGATTTGCAGCATTCTGCAAATGTATAATCTTTTGAACTTTTAGTTCTCGTTGTTTTGCTGGAGGATCAAGATGGGATAATGATGGTGTACACCAATTAAGATCATTTCTATTTTCCACCATTCTATGATTTTCTCCCCCTAATGGTGGGAATTCATATTCATTAAAGGTGGGATAATGATGGTGTACACCAATTAAGATCATTTCCATTTTTCACCATTCTATGATTTTCTCCCCCTAATGGTGGGAATTCATTTTCATTAAAATGACAATCAGTAAAATGAGCCGTAAAAACATCTCCAGTTTGTGGCTCAAAATATCATATAATGGATGGCGAATCGTACCCATATATTCCAAGTCTCCTTTGTGGTCTCATTTTTGTACGTTGTGGTGGAGCAATCGGGACATATACTGCGCATCTGAATATTTTGAGATGCGATATATAAGATTCTTGACCAAATGTTAATTGTAATGGAGAATACTTATGATATGCATTTGGGCTGATACGAATAAGTGATGTAGCATGCAAAATAACATGACCCCAGATAGAAATGGGTAATTTTGTTTTCATTGTCAATGGTCTGTCAATAAGCTAGAATCGTTTGATTAATGACTCTGGCAACCCATTATGTGTATGAACGTGTGCTACTGAGTGTTCAACATCAATACCCATTGCTACACAGTAACCATCAAAAGCTTGTGATGTAAATTCTCCAGTATTATCAAGTCTCACTTTCTTGATCGAGTACTCTGGTAACTGTGCCCTTAGTTTAATTATTTGGACTAAGAATCGGGCAAATGCTAGATTACGCGATGATAAAAGGCATACATGCGACCATCTACTTGAAGCGGGTCCACAGATATCACCATGAATTCTTTCTAAAAATGATTCATACCGATTTTAACTTGTGATTGTCTAATTATTAATTTTCTTTTAGATTATGTATCACAAGAAAGCTCATCCGATTGAAAAATCTTCTGGTTTTTCAGTGGGTGGCCATAAGAGTTTTCGATAATTTTTCTCATCATAATGGCACCAGGGTGACCCAATCGATCATGCCAAACTTGAACGTATCAGTAAACTTCTGATTTATTATGATCTGTAATTCAATCACATTGATATTAATATAATATAATCCCGAGGATAGAGTGGGTAATTTTTTTAACACACACTTTTGTCCCGAATTGATTGAGGTGAAATATAAATACTCAGTGTCATCCTCATTCATGGTTTCAATATGATATCCATTTTGTCGGATATCTTTAAAACTCAATAAATTTCTTTGGGACTTGGAGGAAAATAATGCATATTTTACTATAAATTTTGTTCCTCCTGGCATAATGAAATCAACTCTTCCGGAGCCTTCGATTATTTTTCTATTTCCAGATATAGTAGTAACATTTCCTTTGTTTATTCTCAGATTCGAGAAATATTTTTTTGTCTTTCAGTATTGTATATGTTGTAGCACTATCTGCCAAACATATATCTCCTCCTCGGTCCGCAGTTTTGGTCATATTCGTTTTCTATTCAAGGACAAAACAACATGACAAACATTAAAAAAATAGATATATTAATAATGTATAATGTCATTACTAACTTATGAAGCAAAAATAGTGATATAAAGTACAACAACATATCATGAAATTATTTATCCATGAGAATACATATGTAGATAATATTGATTATATGAAGTATGTAATCATTTATATTGTTTTTATTCATAACCGGCTCCATCTTCAGGATGGACAAAAATATCAGCGAGGTCCATGTGTGCAAAGTCCTTAGCACCACTAGCATCATCATCATAATCACTCATGACATGATTGGTCTCGATGTCTTTCCCTTTTGTTTCTTTAATCGACTTTTGGTAAAGGTCCACCAGATGTTTAGCGGTGCGACAAGTACGCGATCAATGTCCCGTCATTCCACACCGGTGGCATGTACTTTCTTTCATCCTCTTGTTTGGATGACTATATGCTCCCTCTTTATTATTGTTAAAATTATGATTTTGGGATGAGTTTCCTTGACCACCTCCTCTGTTCCAACTTTGGTTAGCACCACGACCGCGTCCTCGGCCTCGGCCTCAGCCTCTACCTCGAAAATAACCACGTTATCGACCATTATAAGACATAACATTCACTATAGGGAATGATGTTTTTTCTGTATCATTGGAATGGTTTGTTTTCTGTAGCATTCGCTTCAGGGAATGGTACAGATCCAGACGGTCGTGATGCGTGGTTTTTCATTAACAGCTCATTATTTTGTTCGGCCAATAAGAGACATGATAAAAGTTGTGAATATTTTGTATACCCTTTTTCTCGATATTGTTATTGGAGTATAATATTCGATGCATGCATTGTTGAGAAAGTTTTCTCCAACATCTCATTTTCAGTGACTGTTTCTCCACATAATTTTAGAATCGAAGTGATTCGGTACATTGCCGAGTTATATTCACTGACATTCTTGAAATCTTGAAATTGGAGGTGTATCCATTCATATTTTGTCTTGGGGAGGATCACCATTTTTTGATGATCAAAATGGTATTTTAATTTTAATTAAATATCTGCAGGATTTTTTATTGTCAAATATTCCTTTTTCAGATCATCATGAAGATGATGTCGCAGTAATATCAGTGCCTTTGCTTTATTCTCGTTTGATGCACTTTTTTCTTTAATGGTGGTACCAAGACCTTTTGATTCGAGATGCAGCTCAGTATCCAACTGTCATGATAAATAATTATTTTCTGATATGTCGAGGACCTCAAACTCGATATTTGTCATTCTTTCCATTATGACTAAACAAAAAAATAAGTCATATATTAGCTTTATTCATTATCATGGATAATACAATAAGTCATATATTAGCTTTATTCATTATCATGGATATTAGTAATACGCAAACGAGAGGTAAGACCAAAATAAAAATGGATCGGGATTTTTGTCGAAAAAAATACAACGTTGCTGCTAAAACTGCTAGAACAAAGAGAATTTTAATAAAATTCATCTTGAGAGATTTTTTTTTCGTGGGAGAAGAGAAGAGAATGAGATGATTTGGTGTGAGTTGTTTAAGTGAATGAATGTATTTATATGGTAAAATTTACTATTCTTAACCGTAGGGGAGGAGCCAAAATTTGATTTTTTTAGATATAACCGTTGGAAAAAAATAAATTTAAAAAAAATATAAATGATTTTATCAATTTATATTATAAAACTATACATAGAAAAATAATTTATCAAAACGAATTGTTAAATTATTTTATAAAATTAATTGATCATATTATGTATTAATTAATTATTGAGAAATCAAATAATTTATAATCAATTTATCCTTATATGAAAAAATTTATAAATCTTTATTTGTAAATTTTATTACTAATATATATATATATATCGAATGAGCCTACAGGATCACACACACAGGAAAGGACGAATGCGCGAGAAGAGACGAGAAAATCCCGGTGGAGCAGAGGCCAGACCGACTATATATTTATTTATTTTTAGATTAAGTTAAAAAAAATTCGTATAAATAACAATCAATAAATTTATATTATATATGATAATTCAGGCGGCATAGCCGTCCAATAACAAATAAATAATTAAGGCTGCATGGCCGTTCAAATTAATAATTAAGGTGGCACATCCGTCCAATAATGAATAAATATTTAAGGCGGCATAGCCGTCTAGATTAATAATTAAGGCGGCATAGCCGTCCATGAATAATAATCGAGGCGACATAGCCGTCCATAAATTAATTATAAAGAATATCGTTATTCATATATAACTTGGGGCTAATTCTACTCAAACATCTGAATACATGTATATATAAGAACAAAAATATTAGTATTAAAAATAAGTTATCTTACCTTTAATTGTGGAAGAGCGCTCGTGCTGATAACGTGTTATGAAATCGGAAGAAATATTAATGACCCGAATATTAGATCGTTAACTATAATCAAAAACTGTATTTTAGGAGAATAGAAAAGAATATATTTTTTATTACTCTTTCTTTTGAAAGTGTACAAATGGAGTAATCCAAACGGTCTATTTATAGAAATTTCTAAGTTACTATTTATGTATACAGTCGGTGTGAACAGTAACCGTATATATGAACTATAAGTCGGTGTGAACAGTGTGAACAGTAACGGTAAATATATATTTTATTTATAACCGTAGCAACATTTTCTCCAATCGAATAATTTAGAAACCGATGTGGAAAACCAGTTTAACCGAACCAAAAACCTAATTATCCATCCGTACCAAACCGGCTTAAATTGTGGTTTCAATTTGAAAATTAAATAAAAAAACAAAATTGAGTAGGAGAGAAATTCATTCCCGACACGGAAAGGGAAAATCATCGATGAAAGTCTTCGACTCAGTTTCATATTCTATCTCTTTTGTGAAATCTCTCTATCAGGATTCCCAATTCCGGCAAACTACTAACCCTAATTTCATCCTCCGGGAAACCCTATTCACATAGCTGGACTGGGTTTTTCTAATTCGCCAGAGAGGGTTTCAACCGACGGTGATCATGGTGTTTCCGTGGAACATTGCTAAATCGGCGGAGGCAGTGTTCTCGAGATGGGCGGTGAAAAGGGTTTGCAAGTTTTTGCTGAAGAAAAAATTGGGGAAGTTTATACTGGGTGATATCGACCTTGACCAGCTCGATGTTCAGCTCAGGGATGGAACAATTCAGCTCTTCGATCTCGCTATCAACGTTGATTATCTGAATGAGAAGGTTATCTTCTTCCCCTGTGTCTTGTCTGTTTTCGGTTTATGTTTCAAATTGGAATTTTGGCTGAAAGTGTTAAGTGTTCAGTTTGGAACTAGTAACTGAGAAATCTGGAATGTTGGCGTTTGGTGCGGTGGTTGAGAAGGTGGAAGAACTGAGTTCTATAAATGTTTTAAATCGAAGTTCAATGGTCGCGATTCTAATCCTGATGAACTGAAATGCTTTCTTAGTTGTTTTTGGTGAGAGTTCAATGACTAATTTCTCCATAAAGGTATGGTTTCGAGCAAGGTGGAAGCGGTGAATGGGATAAAGGCTGTTTTCTTCTAGCCGAGGAAATGCATGTATGAAATGTGGGTAGATATTTCTGGAATTCTCAGTTAAGTCGCGGGGTATTGGGTCTCGTGTGGCATGAACAGCTGCATATCAGTGTCTGCTAAACAAGTTTTTTGGTTTCCATGTTGTAGATAATAGATATCTTAGATTCGAGGCTTAGAATTTCTCTTTTAATTTGTTAATAATTAATGGAAAATAGTTGATCTTGACTTGACCTTCCCCTTCCTTCTCATTCTTCTTTTGATCCCAGTTCGATGCCCCACTGCTCATAAAGGAAGGTTCAATTGGGTCTCTACTAGTTAAAATGCCTTGGAAGAGTAAAGGTTGTCAAGTTGAGGTGGATGAACTTGAGCTTGTTCTGGCGCCCCGTTTGGAGAGTAATGCATCATCATCTGTAAATGAAGCTAGCACCTCCACTTCTACCACAGTAGCTTCACATAGCATACGCCTTGAGCTAAGAAAGCACGAGAATGAATTTTCGGGGAATACTGTTAAATCTGCATCTATTGATGTTCACGAAGGCGTTAAGATGATTGCAAAGATAGTAAAATGGTTTCTTACGAGCTTTCATGTAAGAATCAAAAAGCTGATAATTGCATTTGATCCTTGTTTTCCCAAAGAACAGAACAAGGCAGGTCCACGCCCAGAGTTGGTGTTTAGAATGTCGGAGATAGAATGTGGAATATGTGCTTCGGAGGATCATGTTTCTACTAATGGAGTTGGTGGTGATAATTTCCTTGATATAAGTCGACTTACAAACTGTGTCAAGTTCCAAGGGGCTGTTCTTGAACTTCTACAAATGGATGTTGATAATGATGATAAAACTTGTGGCATGAAAACATCAAATGTTGTGACTTCGATCATGACAGGCAAAGGAGGTGGCTTTTCAGGGTGTTTGAATTTGAGTATACCTTGGAGACATGGTTCCTTGGATATTCGTAAGGTGGATGCTGATCTATGTATTGATCCTGTTGAAGTACGGTTTCAGCCGGCCACGATTAAATGGTTCTTATGGTCATGGGAAAGCTTCATGAGTTTGGACTTGGACTGTTGTCTCTCAGTTTCTCAATTTAATTCATCAGGAGATTCACCTTCAATGCCAACCAATAAACCGGTATCCTCATCAGGTGGCCAAGCTTTTGGGGATAAAACTACAGTGTCAGGGTTACAGTTCATACCAGATTGGTTTCTATCTACTGTTAGTGAGAAAGAAGACGATGGAGAAGTAGATCTTGGAGCAAGGTATGAAGTGCTTCTCTAGCAAACAAGATTTTTTTGTACGAAGTGTTTGAAAGATAGTGCATCCAGTTGTTTAACTTATCTTTGTCACCATTGGTTGGAATCTGCGTTTGTCTAGTGTTTTTTTCTGCAAGGATTGTTATTAGCCAAAGTTAATCCGATAGGTTTTACTGTCGCTTCTAGATTCGTCGGCCAAATTCATCCTGGTGCTTATAAAAATCACTTATCTCTTTTTATGTTCTTCAGTGTGGACCAGTTCTTTGAATGTTTTGATGTAATGAGGAGTTACCATTCAGCTTTTGGAAGCCACGGAATGTGGAATTGGACATCTTCTGTTTTCACAGCAATCAGCGCTGCGTCTAGCCTTGCTTCGGGGTCTCTTTATCTTCCTTCTGGTATTAGTTTATCTTTCATATATTTGTATTATACTTATTGGGTTGTACAGATTTCCTTATGAATTTCACCAGTAGTCACTTTGACTGAAGCGAGTTATATAATTTAAGTTCCATGTGATTCTGGGCTGTTTTGTTGCTTCATGTTTTTGTTTTACCAAATTTTTTTTCCCCTGGCATAAGCATGTACAAATAAGTTCTGTATCTTGCTATCTAAGAACGTTTTGTTTACTTGTACACTCTCTAGCTCATACTTGGTTTGACACTTATATATTATTTTACGAGGCTTTGCATTAATCCTCGCTGTAAATCCTCTATATTGCTTACTCCCTTTACTTGAACTGAATTTTTTGTTCTTTTTGCATGTGTTTTGTGACCATTTCATTTACATGTGAATGCAACCCTTTTATTCTCATGTTTACAGAACAGCAGCATGTTGAAACCAGCTTTAAAGTCTCCTTTGTTGGAATTTCCATGGTGCTGTTTTTCCAAGATGAAGACAGCTGGAAGGAAGATTGCGCGGATGTCCATTACGTGGGCGCAGAATGCAGGGATATTTCTGCCTCTGTTCAGGTAATTACTTTGACAGGATTGTGTTTCCTCCTCTTGCTTCTTATTGTCAAGATTTGGCTTACGATATTTGATAAGGTAAACAGGTATGTCCTCATGATATGAGGTTACAAGGAGGAGTGAGCAGCATTGAGATCGCCGACTATTGCCATGCAGGAAATACCCGTGATACGGCTAATATTGAATACAGAACAAGTTTGATAAAAAATTTACAAGCTGAGGTTCAGAGTACTCTTCCTTCATTTGCCTCATCTGATGGAAATGCTGCCTCAAATAATTTAAGTGAGATAGTTTCTGATGGGTTCCTGTCTCGTAACAAAGGTTTTGCTGTCAAGACACTATTGGTTAAAGCTGCAGGGGGTGATGGGCTTCGGTTTAATTTCAACTCTCAATCATCAGATGGAACCTCGGGAGGACCAAAATCATTTTCCTTGACTTTACCATCCACAACATTATGGTTGAACCTTCATTCAGTAAAAATGTTGGCAGATCTTTTGAATGATGTGGCAGAATCTAGTCCCGAAATTAGTCACAAACGGAATCAGTTATGCAATGGGAATGATGGATCTTCCTTTACGTGCATTAAAGCCTCTTCCAAATCTGAAAGGTTACGAGGTAATGTGTCGATCGTGAATGTTCGAGTGATGCTGTGCTTCCCTTTCGAGAGCCATTCTGGAAAGGTATGCAGCTCTTTCTGGGAAGAATTTGTTGTTCTCGACTTATCTTCGTCATTTGCTTCTCATAAAAACAAAATTGAAGATGGAAGTCCAGAAGGAATGTATTTTAACTCAGCTGCTCGTTCCATATGCATTAGTGTTGGTGATGCTAGCATTTACTTGGTCACTTCGGACCTTAAAGATGCTGAAACCAATTCATGCAGCATGCCAAGAACATTCTCAGCGTATAGGATTCTGGATACCTGCAATAGAACTAGTAACCAACTTTCTACCATTAGTATGTATTGGCAAGATAGTCCTGTTGCTGGACCTTGGTTAGTGAAGAGAGCTAAGATCTTGGCTACTCAGGAGGAATCCATGCAAACGAATAAATCTGGGGGAAACGGCCTCGAGTTTGCTGCTGTTACTTCTGCAAAAGATCAGGAAGACATTTATTCTCAAACCAGAAAAGAAATCGCTCTGGCTTCTTCATTCTGTCTCTACGTTCATTTGTTTCCTCTTACTATCCATTTAGACAGTTTGCAATACAGCAGCTTATGTAGTGTCCTAGACCAGATAAAGGTTTGTCAATCCAGTATGGCAGGCAACACGACTACTAAGACAGAGGAATCTGCTGTGCCGCAAACATCTCTTATTGTGGAGTGTGATTCCCTTGAGATTTTGGTCATGCCGGAAGCAAAGAAGGACATAAAAAAACAGCTTCAGAGTGAGATTCCTGGGTCATGGGTTCAGTTAAAACTGAGGGTCCAGAAGTTTAATCTTATGTCTGTCTCAAATCTCAGCACTACTTGTGGTGCTGATTTCTTTTGGTTAGCCCATGGGGAAGGCAAGTTATGGGGTTCTGTCACAGATCGGCCTTGTCAAGACCTTCTTCTGATTTCGTGTAGCAACTCTGCAATCAAACGTGGTAATGGTGGAGGTTCAAATGCCTTGTCATCTAGGTTGGCTGGCCTGGATATTGTACATTTGCGGGACCCAAAAATCTGCCATGATTATTTGTCTGTATCTATGAGGTGCAGTACAATTGTAGCCGCAGGTGGACGTCTGGATTGGATAGAAGTGGCCTCTTCCTTTTTCATCTTGCCTTCTGTAGAAACAGAACAAGTTGTTGACAGGGATTCACTAGGAATGAATTCTAGTTCATCTAGTAGCTCCTCGTTTATGCTTAGTCTGGTCGATGTTGGTTTGAGCTATGAGCCCCACTTTGAGGATCTGGATGCTTTACATCAATCAAGTGACACATGGATTGCGTGTCTGCTTGCTGCATCTTCTCTTAGCCTCTCAAATACTAGCCTGGTCAATTCCAAAAAAAATGATTATAGAATTAGGGTTCAAGATCTTGGGCTTCTTCTGTCTGTGGTTTCAGACCCTGACAGGCTTGTTGGAATTTACAGTGCACAGTATCTTCATGAGACTGGCTATGTTAAAGTTGCTCAGGAGGCTCTCATCGAAGCTATTCTGAGAAGTAACTCTGAAAATGACCTCCTCTGGGAGTTGGAATGTTCCAAGTCTCATTTGTTGATCGAAACCTGCAGTGACACAACATCTGGTCTGATTCGGTTGGCTACTCAACTCCAGCAGTTACTTGCTCCTGATTTGGAGGAATCAGCTGCACACTTGCAGACTCGATGGGACAACATCCAGCAGGCACATGCTAAGAGTGGTTTTGATTCTAGAGATCATATCTGTAGCTTTGCGTCAAGTTCCGAAATTCAAAATTCAAGTTTACATGTAGCGACTGAATCTAGCGTCACAGGTTTGATGGATGAAATCAATGAAGATGCTTTCGCCTTTGATGCAAATTCTACCAGTATGTGTGACTCTTTGGGATATCAAAATAATTCCATGTCGTCTGATGAAAGCTGTCAGGGGAAGGCATTAATACTTGAAACTTCTCAAACACTCTCTGACCCATTTATTTGTGGGTCATCGTCTGGAATAAAACCAGAAAGCAACCAAAAATTTCTTGAAAGAGATAGCTTGCCTGAACTTATTGAGAACTACTGTTTGTCCGAGTTCCATCCATTGTCAGAGCTTCCTCAAGAAGGGGATTCATCGGGGGTACAATTGGTTCTTGAGGCAGATTTCAAGAGAGGAAACTCTGGGTGGTATGATGACACGTCTTTAAGAATCTTGGAAGATCATGTTTCCAAAGCAACTGAAGAAGATTGTGAGGAACATATTCTGGATGGAAATTCTTCTCTTTTTGAGTCAACATCATGTTCTGAGGGAAGTGCCATTGGACGTGTCCTTCTGACAAACATCAACCTCAAATGGAGAATGTACTCTGGCATTGATTGGCATGATTCTAGGAAGAAAGGTGAGACGTATAGAAATGTGAAGGGCAGGGATACAACTGCTTGTCTTGAGCTTGAATTATCTGGGATGCAATTCCTATATGAAATCTTTCCAGCTGGCAAAATATGTACATCTGAACTCTCTCTCGTTCTCCAAGATTTTTATCTTTATGATAGAAGCAAAGCTGCACCTTGGGCATTGGTAATTTGAGATAATCACTCTATCTTAATATGATTGATATTAGAAATGCCAAAATAGATGTTTTAACGTGGTTTCCTCTTGAATTTAAAGGTCTTTGGATACTACAACTCAAAAGATCACCCAAGAGAAACCTCTTCAAAGGTATTCAAGCTAGACTTAAAAGCTGTCAGACCTGACCCTCAAACCCCCCTTGAGGAATACAGGTATGCAGTATTTTTTTATTTTCATTTTCTTGTACTCACTATTTCGTTTAGATCTTTGAAAGATTAGTTTGAATTTGATGTCCTTTAAAATTTGGTGAAGTTGCATGTGTTATTGGATTTTCGATCATTTTATTCTCGGCTTCGGTATCCAACATTTTAAAATTACATTCATGTCTTTATTATCTTCAATAGTAAAATCAGTTTCATTGAAAACATTTTCAAAAAATAGTTACGGTCCATTTTTCCGTGAAAAATAGACATATTCATATAGAAAAGCTCTGTCCACATCCTCCCATTTGACTTAATGGGAGGGTAAGCTGAAGTTACTCAGTTTTACTAATTATTTTGTTGGGTTTGGTGATCCCACATAGTTCAAATACTAAGAATATAATGTTTTAGCAAAATTATCCTAAAAACATGATTCTAAATGTTGAGGTAGACTTCCAGCAACAAATGCTTTGATGCTCTCTTCATAGGCATGAAGGATGTTCTCTTTGCTAGTTATAATATTCTTTTTATTTTGTTAAAGTCTGGTTCTTCTTTGTGTCTTTTCGATGAAACTCTGTGATATCCATAGAATAGTTACCACATTATGGTTGATGCCATTATTATTATTATTCTTTTCTTGTAAATCTTTTGCCTCCCAGGTTGCGTGCTGCCTTCCTCCCTTTGCTGTTGCATCTTCATCAAAGTCAAGTGGATTTCCTCATCAGCTTCTTCGGTGCAAACAGCACAGAAAAGCCAGTAGGTTCTGTTGATGATTCAGGTGCTTTCACTTCGTCTGTTGTAAGAAGTGATTCTATTAGAGGACATAATATTATAGAAGAAGCTCTTCTTCCATACTTCCAGGTAAGCAAAGCCATTTTTCCTAGTAAGAGAGTGTGACATTGAAGATGCCTTCACATTTTAATGTCCTAGAGTTAGATCAAATCACACTGAAATGAACGGAGATTAATAATATCGATTGTCATTTGAGCTGACTTGGCTCAACAGTAAACCCACTTGTTGTGGGTTTTGAGGTCACGGGTTCGAATAAGCCTCTCTGCATAAAAGCAGGGTAAGACTGCCTGCCTAGTATATTCCCTTCCCCAGCACCCGCACTATGTGGGGATTCGAACTGGGTTGGGTTGGTCCTTTATCTGAAGTGACTGTTAGAGGGAAAATGGTTGAAGGCGGTGGTAGTGGTACTGTACTCGCCCTTGTATTTTTCTTTTCTAAGCTGCATCAGATGATTTATTATCTAACCCTTCCATCCTGTTCGGTTTGATGTTTCCAGAAGAGATTGCTAAACATACTTAGCTTAGCTGACCGGATAAACATAGGCATTCTTGTCATTTCCACGATTTTAACTGATGTCTGGACTCTGGAAATTGGGACTGCATTTTCTGGAGTTTGCTCTTCTTAAATTGTTATCTCTGACAGATGAAGTTCCTTTTTCAGAAATTTGACGTATGGCCAGTTACGGTTCGGGTTGACTACAGTCCTCATCATGTTGATTTAGCAGCATTGACAGGAGGAAAATATGCAGAGCTTGTAAACCTTGTTCCCTGGAAGGTGAGAAACTATATTTCTAGTATCACGTGGTTTCGTGGTTTGGACAGCATGTACTCATTTGAAGAGAAAACTGTGCAGGGAATTGAACTTAAGCTCAAACATGTACATGCCGCTGGAATCTATGGTTGGGGCAATGTATGCGAGACTATTCTTGGGGAATGGTTAGAAGATATATCACAAAATCAGGTTCGTTTTTTCAAATTTTCCTGTCTTGTGCATATCCATAATCTTTAATCCTTTAAAATGTTTTAGACATCAGATTTCCCATGTTATTTTATTACGTTTTCAGGTTCATAAATTACTGAAGGGGATACCAACAGTTAGATCACTTTCTGCTCTATATGCTGCTGTTGCCAAGCTAGTCTCTTCACCGGTCGAAAGTTACAGAAAAGATCAGAGGCTTGTAAAGGGAGTGCAAAGAGGTAAAGTCTCATCCTGAAATGCATTCATTCTTCTCTTCCTTTTGTCTTTTTTTGGTTTCTGCTAATCAGGAAATTGTTCACTTATAATGAACTAATGGGAATGGGACATCATTTGTGGCATGCATTATCACGTCTTATGATTTACCTGTTGGGAATGGAAAAGTTGCTTTCAGTATGGCAATATGCCATTGAAAATTGATATGTCCATGGAACCTCTTTATGTTGGAATTTGATATGCCTAATGGATGTCGAAATTTCTCACTAACAAGGTGCATCACGTCCACTATGATGGCTGCATCTTTCCGCATCATCTGCTTCAGTGTCTTGTTTATGTTCCTACTAATTTACGTTCATGGGATAAACATGTGTTAACTGATATGTGCTTCCGATCTATCTAAATTTCAACCATAAATTTCCCAATGGTTTTGTATTCTTCACTTCAGTGGGCATTACCAGGCAGCGTGATTGATAATGATTTGGCTATTTTCAGGTACTATTGCATTCCTCAGAAGCATATCACTTGAAGCTGTTGGACTTGGGGTTCACTTGGCAGCAGGGGCTCATGATATCTTGCTGAGAGCAGAGTACGTCCTTGCTAGTGCCCCATCACCCCCACAGACACAAGGCAAGACAAAAGCAAATGTCAGACATAATCAGCCTAGAAATGCCCGGCAAGGCATGCTTCAGGTGAATATACGAGCCCTGCCTCTCTGGCTGAGTGATATGCTGTCTAGGTCACATGCAAAAAGATTTCATGAACATCTTGAGTTTTTTTTGGGTTGGGTTCTGTCCAAAATATATAATTCTACTTGCTCTTCTTGGATCAATGTACTTACATGGTTGAAATTTAATAGGCTTGTGAGAGTATAAGTGATGGCCTGGGGAAATCTGCTTCTGCTTTGGTCCGTAGACCTCTTAAGAAATATCAACGTGGAGATGGTGCGGCTTCAGCTTTGGCAACAGCTGTTCAGGGAGTTCCAACAGCTGCTTTAGCTCCCGCTTCAGCTTGCGCAAGGGCTGTCCATAGTGCTCTTGTTGGCGTCAGAAATAGGTCAGTTCCTATAATCTAATTAAAACTTTTCCAAACAGCTCTGTGATACACTCCTGAATCTAGGCTTTTAGTTTATTTGGCTTTATCTTTTATGGACTTTAGATATTTGATAACATTATGGGGAAATTTTGGGTATTTGTCAATTTTCCTCAGCTCTACTTATTGTATCTGGTAATAAAAGAGAAGTTTTCCCGTTTAATGAAATTATCAGAGAATTGATCAGAAAATAGAGGTCGAATACTATTCCCAACTGTAGTCCGACGCTGCAAAGCGAAAGTGTCCGTTACTATCTTATTCCGGGGATGTCTTTGCCTGCAGTCTTGATCCTGAACATAAAAAGGAGTCCATGGAAAAGTATTTAGGCCCAGATAAGCGAAGGAATCAAGACTAACACGGACAACGCTAGGTAATATCTCATCACACTCTCGCCTTTCTGTATTTCGAAATGGGGTTTTCCATCCAGTCAACTAGTCATCTTGCATTTCGAGTAGCCAATTCGTCTTTTGATTATCAATGTTGGTTAGACTAGTAATCTCATCAGTAGCTTAGTTAGTTCCTGCATATTCTACTTCTTCTTAGCATATTGATTGGAATTCGTTCTATAGTGCGTCGTCTTTGTTGGTAAAATCTCATGCTTGTGCAGTTGTCTACTCATTTACTGGTTGCGTTCAAGCGAAGGAGATAAAGTCGCGTAGAAACCAGCCGAATTCATATCAGGTGCGTTGTGTTGCCAGTCAGTTCTGATGTGTTTGCTTCTCCTTGCAGGTGAATAGGTGAATAGGGCGATTGGATTACATTCTTTCCCCGTCTTGAGAAAAGCCAGAGATGGGTAAATTTTGTACAAAATCCAAAAAACAATACACATATATAAAAATACGGATCATAGAGAGTAGTGTGGTTCTGTGGATATGATATTGATCTTTATGACTCGATTGTATATTTAATCCATCTCGTTTGCAGAATGAGCGAATTGTACAGTTTGTCTCTTTTATTCTTTTTGAATAAGAGGAAATGTAAAAAGGTTTTGCCCACGAAATGTGTTTTCACTTGGTGCTATTTTTGGTGGTTTCTTGTGAGCCAAGTCATTTGCTGTGATGGAAAACCACTCTTATATCTAATTCACTGAGTTGGATGGTCCAAACCATAAATGATGAAAAATAACAAGTACAAAACTAGATTAAAAAGAAAAGGGGGGGATTAAATTACGAGTCACAATACTTTTTGTACATTAAAAGAACCATGGAAACGGTGATGGGTAAATTACGAGTCACAATAAATAAGAAAAAAATATATTAAACTGAACATTGTGCGTGAACCCATTAGATTTTTTTCTGGAATTCCAATGCAAATCCTTATCTGTTGCCAAACCTTAAACTACATGATTTATTTGTTCAGACTCCATCACGGTTTCAACTGGTCAAACGGGAGCACAAATCATTTGTTCCGCCTCCAATTCGAACCTCAAATTTAGGAAGCGAACGTATAATGCAAATGATATGGCTAGTTCTCGTTCTCGTAAAACTTTAGTTCAAGATACTGGTTACCAAAAAAAATAACACAGTCCATTTTAGATTGCTTTTTTTTTCACGAGTGTTATCATTTTGGATTACAAATGTTTGAGAATCTGAAGTTCAGGCGTGGTTCAACAACAAATCGGTAAAGAGATCATATTCATAAATACAGATTTCGAATCCTATTCTCCAATGAAACCCTCATGTATTTCGGTTTCAAAATCGACAAAATGGCCCTCCAATTTGCACATCTAACGGTTAGCAAACGCCCCTTTCTCAGTCCTTTTCTCGTTCCTTTCTTTTCCTTGGCATGTTTTCACGTGAGACCCTATATCAACAAGCACAAGTACTCATTGGGACGTCAACTCTACAAAAAAAAAATGGCGAGATTTATGGATAAGGAACTCGAGCCATATATTCCTACTGTATGTTTAGCCCCCTTTTCTTCAGGAATCCTCTGGTGAATCTTCCTTGAAGCTTGTTGTTCACAAGGAGCCTGTAGATTAACGATACGGTTAATTGCTACAGTGCATGATTCGTTCGTCTAGTAGAAAATATAGATCGGATCCTAATCCTACACAGATATGTTATCGGGAAAGAGCTTTATAGTGTTTAGAGTTTACGGATTCAAGATTTTGGGTGTGAAATCGAAAACCAAAGCAAAAACAATGACAAGGAGTGTTACAGTTCCCGTAGGTTTGGAAGCTGTGTAACTGATTGAGGAATAGTTCCACTGAACTGATTGTCCTCCAAGTGCCTGTGTTTTTCAAACCATTAAAGCAAGTCCAAGAATCTGAACCTTTGTTCAACACTTACAAGATTCGGTTTCACGAAAACGTACAGAGTTTCAAGCCGTTTCATCAAACTCAAATCCGGGATCGTGCCCGTGAGTTTGTTCTTCCCAATCCAACTGAAATTTTTCCCAAAAGAGACGACGATTCTTCATCAAACGAATCACTAATGCATCATTGAAAGGTACACATATACTTATAGCATGTGAACTCACAAATCTTTAAGAGCAGTCATCTTGTTTACACTCGACGGTAGAGATCCAGCGAGTCCGAGATTCGTGAGGTTCCTAACGAAAATTGTGAAGCGAGTAAAAACCCGAGAAGCTGAAAAGGAGCTATGGTTTTTTACGTTTCTTGCGAGAGAAGTCGTTGAGCGAACTTACAGGGAAGTAACTCTAGAGACTAGACCTTTGGAGCAAGTTACTCCGGTCCACGAGTTCTCATGAGGAAGACAAGGGTCGCCTGACCAATCCGAGGGCAGGTTCATGATACTTCTCGACAAATCGTGCATTGCCGTTGCTGCAGAACAAATCAACAAAAGAAAGATTACTGATGAGATTGATTAGACGATTGGGTAATGATGATGATGATGGAGAAGAAATTAAAGAATAACGTTACACCATTTGTGTATCAAACTCGAAACAAAGACTACGCCGAGCTTCGGAGACCATTATACCAAAACGAAATCACGGGTACCCGAGCCATGCCTAGTTCTACTATGCAATAGCATTTAGAGAATTAGGGTTTCTTCTCAATTAACGGTTCTTGACAAGAAAATTGGGCTATATTTTCGGATCGTATCGCTCATTTAAACGAAAAATATGTAGAAAACAGTTTAATATCGAGTTGATGCCGAAATCTAAACGGCTAATAACCATAATCACAAAGAAATCAAAGCATATAAAGAAACATTACCATCTCTTGTGTGAGTCTTTCCACCGAGAGGGACGATTTGAAACACTTCGGCGGCATTGATTACTGGTCCCACCGGTGAATCCTTCATTGGAACCATCGTTATCCGAGTCTGGCCCGACAATGGCCATCCTCCGGTGTAAACCATAGCTCCATTTGCACTCACGTTGAGCTTGCTATAGAATGCAACTCCATTGATGAAAACATCGAAAACTCTCCAGCTTAAGGGGCTAGGGTTTCGGTTATCTTGAAAATACAGAGCTACGTAGTACTTTGTGGTTGGGAGACTAAATGGCGGCCACGAAAGTTCTAGAATCTTCCCTTTACTCGCTGTGACACCCGATGCAAAGGCTTTTGCCGGTGGAACATTCCAGAAGTCCGAAGGATCGACGCGTCCATGGGATTTCACTGTTGGATGTCTCGGATCCGAAAATGGTTGCCATAGACGGTTGAATTGATCATCCGGATAGCTATATTCAAACAAAACATACATAAAATTACGAAAATTCAAGAAACGAATTTGGAAAACAAATGTGACATCGGCGACGATACCTAATCATATCGTCCTCGCTTCCTCCGAAACTGCTTCTGGTGATGACATTGAGGGCGTAAATCCCGAGATCCGTGGAATTGTACATAGAATCCTCAAGCAATTGAACCTCAAGAGCCGATATGAAAGGAGAAGAGACTGTTTTCGCGTTCTTGGCGAGGCAAACGCTAAGGGTTTTCCCGACCGAGGCAACGATGATCTCGTAGTAAGAGCTTAAGCCATTGGCGTAATCCTCTGTCGTGTTCACAACACTCCATTTTATTTCCCCGACAATCTGATCGAACACCGGTGGCTCGTTTCTCCCGTCGAAGTTTCCGTAGTAGTAAGTTGTGCGGATTAGGTATTTGGAGTTCGTGGAGACCGGGAAGCTGTAGCAGTATTTTCTCGATGACTTGTTCGGAAAGTAACGTAGCGTCGAGAGGATCGGGAGCAGGTCTTGCTGGTTTAAGGTTGTCGTGTTGCCCACGGCAATGAACCCTTCATCTGGATTGTAATTTATGTCGTGGACTTTTGCCGGGGAAGACGATCCACAGTTCAGGAAGAAACCTTCATTATTAAACAATCGAGTTACTTGCATCCGAAGTTAGGGTTTGATTCTCGCATCCTTTCTTAAATTTTCATTATCCATGATATCATGTAGAAATCGATGTGAGATCTTATGATAATGGATTCGTAATCAGAGTTATAAATCAAATTAATTGTGTTCAATACCTCGAGGCGAAGGAATAGCGTGGGTTGCAATAAAACTGCTCCACGACCATAGGAGGAAGATGAAGAGAGACATTGAAAAGCTTTTGTGACACAAATGAATGGCACTCCCATTTGAGAGAGAGAGAGAGAGAGAGAGAGAGATTCAAAGGCAATGATTGAAGGTAGAAATGCCATTAAGGTCGTTTGTTTTTTCGGAGTAGCAAAGAAATTTTATTTTTAGTATAAAAATTTAAGCGCCCAAATCTGTGGTTTGTAGGAGAAATACACACACACATATATATACACACAAACTTTAAAAATGAAGGTAGTGCATGGCAAGAAATAATAATGCATACTTTTTATTTTATTTTCCCCTTTGGCCTTTGATTATATATGTTGGGACTTGGAAGTAATCCATGAATAAATGGTGACTATTGTAAACATGGTGGACCGATTTGTTCTGTGAATGTGAGCTTTCTGCATCAAGTAACAAAAGACTGAAAGATCATGCTTACATTTTATTCTTGTTTCGTAATTCATATTTCTATATATATAATTCAGATGTGAAAAAATATCAAAATAATTTGCTTGAAAATTTTTCACATTACCTTTTTCGTTGCGACGTTCACCGAACATCGTCCCAACTATATCTCTTAGAAAAATGAAAAATATATATACACTTTGTTAACAAGCTAACAATATTAAACAAAATTGGTTGGACTACACCTTAAACTCAGATGGGAATAATCTTATGAAGTGTTGATCAGATCGTTTCCAAATACGAGAGAGAGTTAATTCATTATGAACACATAATTATGTAACCTTTTATCTATACATTAGACAACAACACTTACTGTAAATAATGTACGATTTGACTACAATACGTATACACACGCAGACACGAGGTCCAGGGTTTGAGGAAGTGAAACAATTGTCGGGTATATATATATAACAAGAGCCATTCGAGTAGAAGAAACAACACAAAAGGCCTGCAAGTGCTGCAGACATTATTGCCTTATTCGTACAAGCAAAAACTGACTCTGCCCCTCTCGTAGTTTACTCTCTGCATTTGGTGATGGGAAGAAACTTTTCATGTCACAGTGCTTTCGGATTCCGTACGGTTCCTAATGGTTCGTCGCCTGAGATGGGACCGGCGACGTTGGAGGCTTTAGATCCTCGTACCTGTTTTTGTCATCATCCATAGAAAACATACAAACGAGACATTACTTTCTCTCTTGTTGTGTTTGCATTCTCATAGGACAAAGCAAAAGGATCGCCCGGAATCTTGTTCTTGAGCGAGGATAAGCCCCTGGATATTCGAAATTTCAGAGTATCCGGCCTATCCCCAACTCAGATATCCGAAATAACGGCTGGACGAGTACGGTTCGGAAAATTTGAATTCTGGTTTTTGGCCAGAGATTATTTATTCATCACCCGTGGGTACCCGAACTGGAGGGGAGGAGGAGGCGAGGAGGTGAGGCCGCAAGGGATCGACAGCGTCGCAAGGGGCCGATGAGAACGGTGAGTGACTCGCCGCTCATCCCCTCGACATTCACCTTGTCCTCGCCACGGATTCGGACCTTCATAATCTTTCCTCGCCCTTTCGCGTCTTTCTTTGTGGCCTCATCGGACGAGATGAATCACCTCTCTCCTCACCTCATCAGAGTCCAACTCAGCCTGTCGGAGGCCAATATCGGGTAGTCCGATCAAGAAATACAAAGAGCAAGATCGAGGACGGATACACCAAAAACTCGAGTACCCGTCAGGTGCCCATCCTTAAAAAACACGACGGTGCTAACGGTTTATGACTTATAGTGTCTTGAACCTCAACTTAATCTTAACTCAAACGAGGAAAGAGAGAAAGAAATGGTCCTAGAAGATCTTACATTGCGTAAGGCGACAAAGGCCGTGGCTTTGGACTGGTTTGATCCGGTTGTTCTTGATTTGAGGTCTCAGGCACAGTGTTAACAGGTGGTTCCGGCGGCGTAGACAGAGTTGTGGAGGTCGGTGAGGGAGAACTCGGTGGTTTCAGATCCCCGTACCTGATCAACATCCGAAAAAAAAAACTCTTCTTTAAATACCTTATTTTGTTCTTCCTTGATCGATTCCATCTGATTGATTTTCCGGGTACTTACGCTCCAAAAGGCGAGTTACTCTGAGAAAGCTGTTCAGTGTCATTAATGGTGATGGCTGTTTTGGCCACATCGTTGCCTCCGAGGGACTCTGAGGCGTTTTGTGTGGAATTTGAAGTCCCCGACGGTGTAGGAATCGGAGAGGTAGGCGGTTTCAGATCCGCATAGCTGTGACAAAATTGCAAAAGTGTAAGAAAACTGCAGAACTGATTATCAGTAGAGAATAGAGATGGAAACAAGAAAGGGGAAATATCGTTACGCTGCATAAGGGGAGAGAGGCCTCGCTCTTTGCGGGCTCGGTGCGGAAATCAAACTTTTTTCGGGTTCAGAAATGCTAGGAACCGGCGAAGAATCGAGCTTTCTGGTTGAAGCTGAAGGAGATGGTGATGTGGGTGGCTTCAGATCATCATAACTGCAAGAATGATGGCAAGTAAAAGAAGCATTAAGATTTTCCATAGAAATATTTCATAGCTCGAATGGAGATTTTTTTATTTTTCGAGTATAGACCCGCGATGAAAATACGAGTTACCACGCATAAGGCGATAGAGGCCGAGTTTTCGTTTCGGCTACTTGCTTCGCCGATTCTTCTGCTAAGGTTTTCGATGTTTGACCAAGTGACTCGATTGTTGATGAAGGAGTGGGAGACGTTGGAGGTTTAAGATCTTCGTAGCTATCGAAAAAAAAAAGCAAAAAATTAAATGAACGAGATTTATCGATAAAAGCAAGATCTTTCCGACAAGTGATCAAGAACAAGTTCTCTTACGTGGCGTAAGGAGAAAGCGGCCTCGCTTCCACAGGCTTTTCTATGGGAGGTGCTTCTTCCTCGGCCGGAGCTTCGGGTTCTTGATTTACAGTCTTGGAAGCCGCAGGCTCGGCCAATTTAGCTGCAGCCTGTTCCTGTGTACAGATAAAATGCAGAAAACTAAAGATAGCCGATGCATATGAACAAAGATAGCGCCAACAAAACCGAGCAATACAGTGAGAATTCGGGTATTCGGGTTAAGGTGAGTCCTCACTGTTCGTTTTTTGTTCTCAAATTCAACAAAGAGAGCAATCCAACTAACTTTTCTGCATTTGAATCTTTTGCTAGCCGAGAACTGAATCAGAAATTCTTCTAAACAAAGATCAGAAATTCGCCTCGATGAATTCAAGAACTGAGAAGGGAGACGAGGAGATTGAAATACCGTTGGTGGGGGAATATAAGGACGTTTCGAAGGAACCCTCTTGAGAAGATCTTCCATGGGAGTTAATGGCGAGGTTGTTTCAGCAATGGCTTCCACAATCTTACAGTAAGAAATTTGAGGGTTCTTCGCCATAAAGGCGAGCAATTCCGCAACCTGGAGATCAAATACCATAATGATTTGGGCTCCTCGTGAATCTCCTTTCATGATAAAAGGGTTCGGATCACGTTTTCCAGGGAAAACGAGAAGAAATACCTGGAGATTCGAGACCTGACCTCCAAACAAAGTATCTTCAAGTGAAAGAGTGAGATTATGAGTTTCCTTGTATGCATCAGTTGGTCTTTCCATTCCTCCAGGTCTCACTATCTGAAAGAAACGTTTCCCAAATTAATGATCCGTTTTCGGGTACATTCGACATCGAACTGCCCGTAAATCCGAAACTTCTGATGTTTCTTAAAATTACTCACAGTGTAAGGGACACCACTAGCAATAAGTGCTTCTTCTGCTCTCCTCTTCCAGCAAAGAACACCCCAGAAGAGGCTTCACAATCGAAGAGACCCGAGCATTTTTTCTTCACCATATGGTAAAAAGCACCGGAAAGGAAACCCGGTTTACACAAAAGAAATAAGGCAATATTGACAAACTTACTTGAGAACTGCGGCTGGGAACCCGAATTTATTTGTTCCCAAGGATGTTACCAGAAGGAAGTGGTCAACTTTTGCAGCTTTTGCTGTATATATCACGAGAGGTATGAAGGAGATTGCCCAAGCAAAGCATTAAAAATACGGGCTTCGAGTGTAAAGGAGAGAAAAGGCAACAGTTTGATAATGGTCGGGAACCCATAACTAGAAAAGAAGCAAGTTTCGAGTGTATTCTTTACCTGCATCAACAAGGTTCTTGGTAGCCTGGAAGTCGATCCTGTAAGGACCCGTGATATCGAAAATTTCCTTCTCACTAGCCCCGATGCAGCATATAACCACGGATGCATTTCCGAGAGCGGGTTCTATCGAATCCTTCTTCTCCAAATCACATTCCACAATTTCGAGCTTTTCTACAGCTGGGCTAAAGGCCAGACACTGTGTCTGTTACTTCACTACGACAAAACACTGTAACAGTTCAAAAACAGATATTGTAACTGTTCTTACATTGAGTTGCTTCATTCTTGTTCTGCAGATTCATCTCCTTGACGCTCTGCAAAGTATGGATTGTACATTAAAACCCAAAAAATGTTTTTGAGAAGTCTGAATATGAAATGAAACGCCTTCACCGTTGGTTAAAACTCGTACTTGCATGAGGCTTTGTGCTTTCTGAGTGCTTCGGACTCCAGCTTTTACCCGAAAACCGAGTTTCAGAAGCTCTCTGAATCAGATTACAGGCATGTTTACATACTGCTTTCTATTCAAAACACAGAGAGATTGAAACCCAACCTGAGAAGCAAGAAACAAACCTCACAGTTCTAGAACCAACTTTACCAGTAGCACCGGCAACGAAGACGACATCTCTGTCTTTGGAATCTGAACTCTTAGGGTTTGCTTCAGTTGCTACAGAGCTTGCTTTCATTGGGCCTTAGTTCGATCAAAACAGAAGAGAAATCACCAATAGGCAACAGGAAATGCTATTTGAGCTGTAATGGATCAAGGAATGCCAAGATTCCAGAGAATTTCTGATGAGATTTCTGATGATTTGATCAATGATCAAGGAAAGATAAAAACTTTGAAGCATAAAAGTACAAAAAACATCATGGGAAAACATCGAACTAAAGATGGGGACACACCCACATTACAACAAAACCATCAGCATAGAACTCATAAATCATCGAAACCAAGAACCGAGAGAGACCCATTCCACAAGAAACGTGAAAAACTGAAAATTGGGAAGCGCCCATGTTATAGAAGTAGCTATAATCGAGAATTAAGACAGGTATTCATCGAAAATGATGCACAAGCAGCGACGAGATTTTGCCATGGATAAACCGTTGAAAGCTACCTGAAGCTATGATCTTGAGATCGAGAAACCCTAACTTTCCAGAATCTGAGTGATTCCTCAAGCTTGAGAATCTGACAAGATTATTGGCATTGTCCTTGAATCCTTGGAAACGAAACCCTTTTCTGTGGAGAGAGGATGAGGAACTGGGTATTGTTGTAAGAATCTGTCCTCCGAAAGAACATATTCCTTCCATTGTCTAAGAAACTTCAAAGTGTCCTTCGCCAAGACAGAACCGGGAAAACCTTTTTTTCTGTCACCGAGATTAGATAAGAGACTTCGAAAATCGTTTCTTTTTCTTTTCTTTTTTTCCTGGTCAAAGAAAAATAAGTTTTATCTTGGGGAATACAGGAATCGGCAGTTCTGCCACTACATCCTGATATGATGGGACCCACCAAACATCTAATAGACCAATCAAAGCATAACCAGAAGTAGCAACAGTTTATGTTCGGTCCAAATCCTCCTGAACTCAACCAAACTAAAATGCAAGTGTGTGTACACATCTGATGAATTTTAACAATAACCAAAACTCAGGATTAGCATGGTTTCTTTCATTTTGGCAAAAGTATGGTCCATATTGCACAGTTTTTTTTATATACCAAGACTGTTGAATTTTGCACAAGTTCAGTTCAATGTGTACAGTAAACGCATATGAAGAAGAAATCAGAGAGGCACATCCCTGAAATTTATGGAGGAAATGATCATTTAGATTTCAATTGATCAAAGAATGGTTGTTTAGATTTCAAATTGAGTGCATTGCTAAAATTATCTTTAAAAACTGCATCCAAATTCAGAGTCAGAGATTCATAATATATCAAAGTCCTCATAACTTTGTTTAAATAAAAGAGAATAAAAAAAGGGTGACATGTTACCAAAAACATGTAACAAGATCATCTTGTCAAGATGCAAACAGACCAATGACTTTAGGACCAGCAAGTTCTTCTCAAGAGTTCAAGAAAGAAACTACCTGTTACAATGGATTCATCCATCCTACAACTCAACACTCGCTAAACTGTATCTGACAGACATTTGCCCAATCTGCTGATGGAATTCGCCTTTGTATGTCCTTAGTTTTCTGTTCTTTATAGTTTTTGACAATGCAATTCAGATCCAAGCACCATGTTGCTCCTCAACTGCAGAAAGTGAAGCATATGGATTGGAGTTTAGGAAAAAAAGAGAGTAAAAGAACACATGCCACAGCTATCATTTCGAAGCATAAACATGTACAAGTTCGTTCCGTTCTTGATCGTTCATACTCAAATATGTGATTTTCTTATTCCAAGAAAAGAAAACAAAAATATTATTTCCGAGAACCACATGGATCTCTCTCATGGTAAGAAGAATGTAGAGGCTTATCCAATGATGCATGCATCTCATCAACCATCAACCTTTTCAGATGGCCAGTGTTTCCAAACAAGTTAAAGTAACCTTTCAAATCTTAATAACAGATCATCAGGTTAACGAAAAGATGGCACCCAAAAAAACACAAATGATACATGTGCCCATAAATGTATTATAGTCGTATAAAGTTGTTAACTTGTTATGTTATGGAGGAGATCAAACATGTTGAATGGGAATCATGAGTCACGACATCTAGAGGAGTACTATTGATAGAAACCGGTATCTTGATCAGTTAATCTTGAACCCAAATCGGCTGTCCAATTCTACGATTTATTATGGAAACAGAATAGTTGCAAAAGAAACTTGCACTCAAGTCAACTTCCATCAAGTTTCAGGAAACTCAAAGAAACAAAAGGTAGTAAAAAACACGAGCGAACCATTGAACTAAATTCAAAATAGAGTTTGATAAAGTTAATGTACAAACTAATCAGTAATCATTACCTCAGGAAGAGGAAGATGGGGAAGTCTGGGGCTGTGTAGCAGAATCAGCTGCAGAAGCTGAGGAATTCAGAGCCGCGGCAACAGCCTCGGGAGAAAAGATCCGAGCTTTCTTTAGGATTTCTGCAACAACCCAATTCTTACGCTTGCTCAACGGCCTTGAAGGATCCAGTTTCACCTATACAATTAACCAACAGAATTTCCTTCAAGAGCTTTTTCCCCGAAATTCAAGATGAGAAATCCAAATATCTATGCCGAGAGAGTACACATTTGGAATGGTTATTCTAATTTTCCGGCATGAAACATAAACATCCAATAGAAGGGAAGGGATAAAAGCTACATGAAGGAAACCTAAACATCGATAGATCGTCTACTGGTAACAGAAAGGGATCATCCTAATTCTGAAATAATATCGACAAATTCGAGATTGTCTCCCTGCGAACTAACAGAGGGGAGTGGATAATAAGTTTTGAAGATCAGAATCTGGGGATTTCGAAGTTCATCGGAAACTATTGCACAAAAATTCGAACTCTCCCGTCCGAGAACACTAATTCGAGAGTTCTCAAGAGACAAGTTCGCTAGATCACAGGATCAAAATGGCGTAATGAAAAGGGAATTTACTCGATCGCCGATGTTGCAGACGTTGTGCTCGTCGTGAGCCATGAACTTGGATGTTCGCTTGACATAGCGGTTGTAGATCCTATGGTGGAAGAGCCTGTCGACGGCGACAACCACCGACTTCTGCATCTTGTTCGACACCACAGTACCGATTACCGGCTTCATTTTCCGGCGAATATCCTTAGAAATCACGAACAAACTCTGGGTAGAGAATTGATCGGAGTTTTTTGCTCGTCTAGGGTTTTTCAGTCATGGGTTTTTGTTAGAGATGGGCTCATCAGATTTCGTCTGTTGCTGAAATTTACAGCCCAAAAAATAGTTGTGACGGAATGGTGGGAAATTATGGAGTATAATTTACTTGACCCCAAATTTTAGTTTCTGTTACATTTAGTCCCAAAGTTTATTTATATTTTGAAATATCTCATAAATATAAAAAATTGTTATCAAATCCATATGTTTATACATGTTTCAAAACTAGGAAAAATTCTATAAAACTTCTCTAACTTGTCAAATATGTTTATACATATTTTTACTTATATCGAAGTACCAAATAAATGTGGACATCATGTATTTATTTTATTTAGTTTAGAAATAGTTTATTAAATTATATAAAATTATATCAAATTAAAGTTTATAAAAAATAAAAACAATGGGTGAGAAATACCTAGCAAATTGATTTTTCTATAATATAAAATGACTGAACAAAAATTATTTATCATACAAAGATAAATAGAAAGAAAAATTGAATAAGATGAAAGTAATAAGAGAGAATACAGTTGAAAAAGAGAGAGCAGAAATATTAATGAATAATTAAATAAAATATTCATAAATAAAAAATTAAATAAATTAATAAATATGAAGGAAAAAAATAATAAAATAAAAATAGAAAAGAGAGTTAAAAAATATAAATATTAAAGTTAAAATAAAAATACTAAAGAGAGTGGAAGAAGATGGGATGGAATTAGAAGAAAGAGAAAATATTAATAAAATATTATATTAAATGAAGGATAATTGAGTCTTTATATTTTTGTTTCGGGTTATATTTGTCTTTTGTAGTGTGAACACAAATTTTTTTTTTAATTTTTTGTTTGGAAGATAGGAGTAGAAGTAGTTATAGGAAAGGAGAGGTATTTTAGATATATTAAAACAATAATATATAGGCTACAATGGTCGAACCCCGAGTTCAAGTCGGGCCGAGCCCGTGGGTTTTATTAATGTTGTAATCATGTAGATAAATATATATACATGTATATACATATATAGAACATAAGAAATTACATAATATCGAAAAATATAAAAAACTAAAAAATTATTTTATTGCTAAATCATGTAATATTTTAATTGATAATATATTTTAATATAATATCATTAGTTTCAAATAATTATTCGAAATTTGTTATCAAATCCATATGTTTATACAAATTTCAAAACATCTAGTAAAACATAGAAAAAATTATATAAAATTCTCTAATTTGTCAAAATATACCATATAAAATCGCCAATTAAAATTTTGTCATATATATTTTCTAATCCCTAATTCCAAATTAATGTTCACCAAAAAACGGTGTAGTTGGATAAATACAATTTTTTGTTCAATATTTAATTAGTGTAAAAAAAAAGTTTTTGCATTCTATATTTCTAATTGTAATCTTTGTATTCTATATTTTTTTAAGTTAAAATGACCATCATACCCTTCATATTATTATAACATGCAGATTTTCTCCATTTATAAAAAAAAAATACTTCGCATGAATTTCGTTTTCCTCCACATAAATGAAAAAACATTTCTATGGATTTTGTTTTCTTATATAAGTATAGAAAAACACTTGCATGTATTTCGTGAAAAAATACTTGCAGGTTAATAGGTGCGATAGGTGCCGTAGGTGACCTACCGCAAGCCGTAGGTGTTAGAAATTCTCTAACAGCTATATTTTGATTTTAATGTCATAATCAATATATGATATAATTGCTGTTTAATATGAATAATTGCAGAAGATTATGGCCACTAATTACGGATGGTCGAATATGCAAATACAGAAAAGTATAGGGGTCAAATAATTATGCAGATACCATGAAGTGTAATTTTCTAATTCTTTATGGGCGAATTTAGAAATTACACAAATCTATTATTATAAATAGCGGTAGTGGTCCCTAGGCTAAACGTACTGAAATCTGATAGCACATATTTGTTGTCAGAAAAATATTTCTTACGTTCTAGAGTAGAAGAGTTTCTACCCACTCTGTCATTTGTCAAGCTATCATGGATTCAGGTATCTTCTAAATTCCAAAATAATTCTTTGTGTGGTATGCATGATGATTGGTCCAGAATAAAATATTCCGCAATATATAATATAGTATTTATAATAAAATACTAATAAGTAGTATCAGAGCCACTTCATGGCATATCACATAAAGAATTTGCACGAATCTGATGATTTTCATGTTAAATAAAAATTCATATGTAATTTCGGATTATGAACAGAAAATATGTATGAATGTCCAGCATGAATTGACAGTTGGTGCATGTTACAATACAGAAAATATACATGAATGATTCTGATATTGCATGTTGAATATATAGTTTAGATATATGTATTTTCGGTTTAGCCTGAAACTCATAAGATACGCATATAAGATCAGTATGTAATATGAACAATCCTATATGTTTATGCGAAAATTTTGAAACAATAAAACATACAGAAATAATATTAAAAATGTAGCGTGGAAAAATGAATAGTTTTTCTTGTATTAATCAGAATTTGCATGTTGAGTGAAATGCACGTTTCTATGTTTAATTTTCTGCATATATATGAATATTTACTAAGTTTTAATAAAATTATAAAACTTAGATGCAGAATACATATAAAAATATATAATTAGAAACATATGCAGAAATTTAAAACAAACAGAAGTGTGGTCATTCACACCAAAGGTTAGAAAATTCTGATAAAGATTATTTGAAATCTCATCAGAATTTAGGAAAACTAAAATAAACCCAAACCGACGGTTTAATGTAGCCACCACCAAAATGAGATTCTAACATTTGTAATTTAAGATTTTTTAGAAAATCTAAATCAATCAGAATCTGAGGGTCGATGTATGCACGGGGCTAAATTGTGTATATGACAATATTTTATCGCCATCAGTGACCAAGTCCAAAACGATCCCTCATTTTGGTTAAGGTGGCAAAATTGGGAAATGAAACAGAATACCGGAGAGGGACACGTCTGAACCAAGAGTATCGGATTACGGACTAAACCGAAACCAAAAACTCGAGGTTCCGCAAACTGAAAAGTCGCGAAGACGCGGCAAAGTAAACATGAGTCGAGTTGCACGACAACAACACCTGGCATTTTAGAATGCCGATTGTGGGGTTATGAAGACATGAGACTATGTTCTTTCAAATTTCCGAAAACAAAAACTAAAAGGAATTGTCCGAGGTTGAACAAAACAGAGACAGATCATTAAAGGATCAGTCTCTGTATGATCGTTTCAGAAGATTTTGTTGGTTGTAATGCTCTAGGATAATCCGTAATATGACATTTTGACTTTGTATTGATTCATTGATTTATGAATGCATTACATCCCCGTTATATGATTGGCATGTTTGTTATATTTCGGCATCCTTGAATCATTAGCGAATGATTCTAAACTCCCTAGTCAGTCAACATTGTGGGAACAATGTTGAATTAAGACTAGCATGAGGAGTGATCGATGCATTGGATGCATGTCACAATCATGGGTACTCGTTGTGAACGAGTGACTGGATGACCCGCATGAGATTGTCACATGGACAGAGTCATGACTTGAATCTCATAAAGCGGTTCGTTCTTGGATCCTCAGACCTGAGATGTCTAGAGTATCTGATATGAGGAGTGGCGTGTCTTGACTGCGTCAAACGTCGTCTTTAACCGGATGATTATAACGGCGTTGATCAGACACGTTCACGAATCATATGGAGATAGTAGACATGCAATATGGGACTTGTCACCTCCTTAACAGGAGAGATATCGCTGGGCCCTCTCGTGGAAGTCGGACTATGAAAACGCATGGCCACGCTATAGATGAAGTTGCATCTATTTTATTAGTCGATTTGCCAAGACGAGAAAGCAGTTGAACTTGAAGGGTGGCTCAAACCATGCCCTTGTTCAACTTATGATATCGTGAGACAAAGGATCAGAATTCGAGCTGTTAATGCCTTGGTTAGATCACCTCTAACTCAATTCTAAATGGGTGGTCATGGCGTCTTGTTAGAGGCTAACCATGACTTGTGGTTCGGGAAAGGTTCCTAAAGTCACTACCACTTAGAATGGGCCTACAGGGTCACACACCAATAGGGATGGACTTATACGTGAAGAATACGAAGAATGGAAACGAGATTTGACCGAAACAAGCATGAAAAGGAGTTTTCAGTGCGTTGGTCCGGAGCTGACCAAGTTTGGTCAGCCCCGGACCAAGTCTGGTCAGATCACGCAGTCCGGAGGAGCAGTCCGAGGTCGCCTGTCCAGATCTGGTCCGGCTGACCAAGAGTTGGTCAGCCCTGGACCAGACTCTGGGACAGACGGACCGAGAAAAGACGTCTCGGACTAAGCGGACCAAGAAGGGTCTGGGTCCGGAGCTGACCACACGTGGTCCGCCGGACCAATCCTTCAGGTCAGCCGGTCCGTGAGCCTCGGACTAAGCTT